CTGCCTATGTTGTATGTACACATGGCTTCTCCCCACTACACGCACCAGCACACGTAGATATGACCATGTACACAACCTGCTGTGTAGCGCTGAGGGTTCAAGTCAGAGAGCAGTTTGTAAATGCCTCACGTGACGTGTTTGTCATACCGCAGCGGCACATGCAGTCATTTCAATGTTGTGGTCGTGTTTTAACATGTTCTGATTTATATGGAGCACTTCCTGGCCCGGATCAGCGCCGGTCATCGCTCCTCCTCCACTGGACCGCTGCTTTCACTGTACCTGGGAGTGAACGCACACCTGACTGACGGGAGCAGCTCACTTCTTCTGCTGTTCTTGAGCAGCACCCGCCAGCGGCCCGGTGTCTCCGCGGACCCGCCAGCGGCCCGGCGTCTCCGTGCACCTGCTAGCTGCTGGTGATTCATCGTCTGTGTGTCCCTGGTGGTTCCTCAGGTTCTCTGAGTGATAGCGGTTCCTCAACTGTTGTATGTTCTACATCCACTCAGAAGTTCTTAATCTCTGATCGGTTCTACTGAGGCTGGACCAGGTTTAGCCGACCTCACCAAAGTGCTGCTGGTTTGTATTTCAGTGTAAATAGAGAATTGATCTGTTTTCTTTTGGAGTGTACTGAGCAGGTTGGATCAGCGTGAGCCTCATCTTCACTGATTCAGCAGCAGCCACAGTTTCATTCCTTAATAACGCTACGAAGCCAGAACACCAGGTCCATGTCTCCTCCCTGTGCACGAGCAGAACTGGGTCACAACCAACTTTAACAAATCATCTCAGGATGCCTTAAAGGAAACTGCCAGCCGACGCTATGGGACGTGGTTGTAGTGGTCCAACAACAGCACATTTGTTTACAGCAGCACCGGGTCGTGATGGTGTTTATGCTGCCATGTTCATCAGAACACCTGTATGGGATCCGTTTCCTTTCCTCTGTAAACAGATACAGTCGGTCCATTTGTGTGCTGGTAGACTGCTGCATAGCACCGAGTCCCTATGAACAACTGTCAGAGGGATCAGAGCAGCACCAGGTGGTACAGAGAACATCTACTGAGGACACCAACACTGGGTCATGTTGGTATGAATCCCGTTATGAGCCGTCTCCTAAAAACGCTTTGATCAGACGACGCTGCCAAGCTGCTGCTGCTTCATTCTACATCTTCATCGCAATAAAACCGGCACCGAATACGCTAAGCGCCAATTAGTGAGCTCTAAAGGTCCTGCTCATTAGTCGATTATATCAGCACAACGATCACCGTTTAGCTTCTCTCCTACGTACTGCCTCGTAGCCGTCGGCTGACCTTCTGGAAGGTCACAAAAACTTTCAAAAAGGAAACTCCCAGTGGGTCTCGTTTCCATGAAAGCGGCGGTGTGATGTCAGAGCAGGCTGCGTTACTCACGGCTGTCGTAAACACACGGAAACTAAACCAGCTGTTTCCCAACTGCACAAAGAGGAAGCAAACCGAACTCTTTAAGAACCCTTAAGGAGCTGCTTTCAGTGGGGCAGCTTCGTAGTTTTCATGTCAGCTGGTATCGCAGTGGTTCAGACAGCTGATCACTGGGATGTGTGTTTGTTATGTCAGAACTTAATCAATAAAGACTTCCCATCCCCCATTACACACACCAGCTCTGTCAGAAAGTCAAAAACCACCTCAAGCAAGTTTAAAAACCTTCCTTTGCCAGTTCCACCAACTCCATTAACTGTTTTAACACAATAAAGGGAATGAAACACGTTACAGCAACCAGCCAATGTGAGACATCTGGAAGTCCATCACAGGACGTACGCTGCTCATCATGTGCCAGAGTGCTGCTGTGATCCAGGTGTGTACATTACAACATACAAACCCGTGACACTCCCACGGTCGTGACCAACACTCAGATCACGACGTATCTCCTTCTGATAACCCCTCTGTTCCAGCGCTAACCCGTCCGCCCACGCCCTCCTGTCGGCCTGTTAATGTGTACAGGTGCTTACAGGTGCGTCTGGACTTTGGCCACCAGCGTTACTATACAACATGAGAACACACGTGTGCACAAAGACACACAAGGCGCCCTCTGAACTCTTCAAACGGCAGACTCTTCAAAGTGCAGACGGACGCCGGCCGGTCCAAACAGGAGTGGCTCTGAATTATTAACAACGCCGACAGAGAGACGCATCAGAGGATTCTGGGTTCGCTCGCCGGCGGGATAGTTTCCTCGACTCCACCCAGACAAACACATGAAGCCCAGCTGGTTTCAAAGTGTCCCTCTGTCTCATGCATACGCTCACATTAAGAGATTAGATGTGAAGAGCAGGACGCCGGAGGACGATTTGATTCCTAAATATAGGAACAACAACATCCAAATAAGCACCTGCTCACCCAACACCTTTCTATTATTCATATTCACACCCAAACCACGATGACAAGACATAAGAGGAGAGGACGAGAGATCGGCGAGGTCCGTCACGTCTTTGTTTCCAGAATGAAAGCAGCAGATCAATGGGGTTTACAGAGCGCTCGTATGACCAGCAATTAGACCAGGAACAAAGGCTGGAAGTGTTGTGCTCGGTGCCCTTGATGTCTGCCTGCATGTCCTGGCAAAGTGGGCGCCGCTGGCACGAGCACACAAACACTCTGCACATTCTCAGCTCTGACCTTGCTCGGTTTTACTACATGAATAGACCGCAGGGACTCTGAGGAATCCATTTCCCACTCGGCCGTCTTTACGGGGAGGACGATGTGCTGTATATTTAGTCTGGACGCTCCAGTCTGCAGAGGAGGAGGGCGGCTGAATGTCAGCCTGCAAACAGTCCATGAGGGCGAATCGATCATCCTCAATGCAAAGGATGCTGTCATTCTGCATAAGTTCATAACACAGGATGTGTTCAGGTAGTTTTTAAAAGGGGCCACGCTCAAGAAAAGCCAAGAAGCTGTGAGCAGCAGCTTTGGCATTTGGACCAACTCATGAACTGAGTGCTGCAGCCTCACAGGCTAAACCGACCCTCGTGGAGCTGTTCTGCCGTTACACTGCCACACCCCCCTTAGCGGCAGCCTGGACGTCAGCAGGTCGCATTAACGGACACTTCAACAGGTGGACAGGTGTGGAAGCGTCTCCACAGTTAACGCAGAACCTGCTGTGAGCTACAGGTTGTATCAGAACCGTCCCAGATCTCAGCTCTGGTGTTTTTGTACCGTCCCAGTGAGGGCAGGTTCATTCATGACGTTTCAGCGTGCAGCCCTGACTCCATCCCCCCGTGTTCATCCAACCCGAACCCCTGACCCAGTGGTTCCGTCAGGTATCTGAGCTGAACCAGCCGGCATCATTTCCACTCATCGGTTTGAAAAGAACTTGATGACCCTAAATGACATGTCACACGTGTCCTTATCTCCATGTCGGCCGTAACGTTCATTCGACTGGACTTCGACGAGCCTCTGCTGACATTAACGGCGCCGATCCACTGCAGCACACGCTGGTCTGAAACCAGATGAAGAAGCAGAACCGAACGACTCGGAGGATGTAATGTGACGGGTTGCAGCAAAAAGGTGGCGCTGAAAGGTGCTGGTGTCACGAACAGAAACTGATTAATCAGTTTTTAATACGACTAATCACCGGCTGATGTTCCTGATCACGTCCCTGCTCCAGCCCAGGTGACATCACCGCAGATCCACCAGGACGCTGCCCCTCCTGTCCAATCACAGCGGCTGCGTCCTCATCACCGCTTCATGCTCTCGTGTGTTGTGTCCGTATTTCATCAGCGATGACATCACACTAGGGAGGAACGATGTGGTCCAGTGGGACCGTTACAGCACGGGTCAGCCGCTTCCCGCCTCGGAGCGCCTTCATTAGCTGATGCTAGCTCGCTGTAGCGACCACAACACAGACAGCGTGTCATGGAAAAGGCCTCTGTGTGTGTGTGTGTGTGTGTGTGTGTGTGTCCCTGCAGTGCTGAGTCAATATTTCAGAGGAAGTAGGACCCCAGGGGACCCACTCCCCCCCCCACCACCACCACCACCACCACCACCAGCTACAGAGTCACTGGAGAGTCTATTAACTCCTGAGAGCGCACACACAGAAACACACACTGCTAACGCACACAGAGACACACACAGAGACACACACTGCTAACACACAC